GGGGGGGGGGGGGGGGGGGGGAGGGGTACGGGCGCACGGATGTGCATGTTGCGTGTGTGTGCACATGCGCATGCGCCTGGGCGTGCGCGTGCGTGCGTGCGTGCGCACGTGCGCATTTGTACACCGGGGTGGCAGGCGCAACTCAACAAATCAGCAGGCAGCGGAGGACACGACACATCAGCCGCCGCAGCGGTGCACTACATGAGCAAACCTGCTCATGGATTGCGCGAGGGCATTGCTGATGGCGCCCTCAAAGCGCACACCCAATATAATGACCAACGCAGTGATGGATGATCCGCAGCAGCCGCACACCCACCTGTAAATGTCCTCCACCTCGACCTCCTTGCGCCCCTCAAAAGCGGCGATCGCCTTGGAGGCCCTGGCATGTCACGCAAGGCGGCAGCGGCGGCGACGGCATGCGCACAAACGGTCGGCCGTGCACGCACGAAGCTGCTGCTGTTTGGAACGCGTCCAACCAAGCTGCTGCACCCTCGCACCAAAGGCCCCGTGAGACGCGCCGGGCCCACGTAGCGCCGCAGCACGAACACCCGCGATGCTATTTGCAGGCGCAGCACCCGAACACGCACCGAGCCGTCCCCTTCCCGGCCTCCCAAAATGCATACGCACCGTCATCCACTTGACCCCAGAAACCGCCACCGCTCCCGCCCCCACCTGTTGGTGACGATGTCCCCGCGTATTCCGTCCACGTTGAGCTCGCTGCAGATCTGGCTGATCTTCACGCGGAAGTCGTACGCAATGTCCACCGACTTGAGGCGCTTGCGCGCGTCGACGATCTTGTTGGTCAGCGCGGCCTGCCGGGCCTCGTACTTGGCGCGGAAGGCTGGGGGGCGGGGTGGGGTCGTGGGGTTTCAGGGAGCGGGAAGTGCAGGGGGCGGACGGGCGAGATCCGGCCCAGTGGGAGGGGAAGCTGGAGGGCCGTGGGTTGGGTGTTCAACTTAATGGCGGGGCGTGCTGCGTCGAGACGCACGGCCTGCGGCCCGCGGCCCGCGGCGCGGAGCGAGCGCGCTGCGGAAGGGCGGCGGCAGCGCGTGCGAGGCCGAGGGGTGTTGTGGTTGTGGTTTCCGGGTGCATTGTTTGCTCACTGGCGGGGTCCTCGTCGAAGGTGCTGCGCTCCGCCACGATCTGGACCCGCAGCTCGGGCTCCCTCACGGTGCCGATCTGAGTATGGAGGGGTTGCGGGTCGCCCGTGTGCATCAAATTGCACTCTGGTTGAGATCGGCACAAAATGCAGACATGAACGGTCAACGGTCAAAACACGCTCGTCCGGGAAGCTGGTGTAGGGGCGGCGCGTGGGCCGTGGAGCTCTGCTGCGTGAACACATCCAGACGGCGGCGGCCAGCCTTCTACCGACCTGTCATGCATGCACGCGCTCTGACATGCACAGTGTGCGGGCAGCTGTGTAAATGGGGCCAGCAAGCCGTTCCTTATCAGTCCTTTTAAATCTTGCAAGAAAAGCTGCCCAGTCTGGCCCTGCCCTACCTGCCAGCACCAAGTGGGGGTGCGCCCTGCAAAGCATCGGTCCGCGAGCACGAGCGGCGGGCTACTCCCACCCTTGCCCCTAACCCCAATCTCGCAGTGTAAACGCCCCCACCTGCGCGTGCATGCCGAAGCGGTCCAGCAGCTGCGGCCGCAGCTCGCCCTCCTCTGGGTTGCCTGACGGCGGCAGCGTGCCGGCAGGGGCAGGGTTACGTATACGGGGCCGTGAGGGCGGCGCAAGGAACGGCACGCATGTCGGGTTTTGGGGTGTTTGTGCGTGCGTGTGTGCATGAGTGTGTGTGTACCGTAATTGCGCCGGTGGTGGGGTGATGTCATCGCTAGCAGGGTCAGCCAAGAGTGACCCACGCCGCGCCTCACAGCGGCGCTGCCCCACCGCCCGCCCCGGCCGCGGCCACGACGCGTGCCCTCCAACAGCCCGCCGCCAGGCAGAGCCTGGGACGGCGTGCTCGGCTGCCCACAAAACGAGAGAAACGCCCCCTGTCACATCCCGATCGTGCTTTTGGCGCGCCCCTGGGGGCGAGTCGGGCGGCTCACCGGACCCGACGAGGATGAAGCGCGCGGGGTGGCTGATGGAGATGCCCTCGCGCTCCACGGTGTTCCAGCCAGAGGCGGCAGAGTCCAGCAGAACGTCGACCTTGATCGGGGGTGTGGGGGGAGGGGGGTTGGGGAAGCGGAAGGAAAGAGGTGGGGTGGTTGGGCACCACGGACCGGGGTCAACGCCATGGATCTACAAGGGCCGCCGCGGCCGCCACGTACAGCCTACCTAGCACCTACGGCGAATGACCCCAAACCCAAATCATGCATGCGCCTATTGTGTATGACATCGTACGTGATCAGATCACAAACACTCAGATCACGTCGAATCAGATCAGAGATCGCACCAGGTGGTCGTCCAGCAGGTTGACCTCGTCCACGTACAGGATGCCGCGGTTGGCCTTGGCCAGCAGCCCGGGCTCAAACGCCTTGACACCTGGTGTTAACAAGATGCAGGGAGTGGCCCCAGCGGCCGCAGAAGGGACTTCAGGTGCGGAGCCAAGAGGCGGTGCGCGTGGCGCCGGCCCCGACCGGGCTCGGCTCGGGGCGGGAGCAATCCGATGTTAAGTGCCGGTCGCGCCGGTTTTGCCAGCTGGAGAACCGCGCGCCGAAGTGGGCCGGCTGGGACCCTCGCTGTGCGGGGGTGCGGCCTTGCGAGCGACCCGGCTCCGCAACCCCTGCCGCCACACTCCCGTACTCCATAGTGGCGCCTACTCACCTGAGCGGGCCCCTCCTCCACACCCAGTGCTCCCCAGCAAGCCACAGTCACGACAAGCACCCCACCCTCAGCACCCACGCTGCCGCGCCGCCCCCAGCCCGGTCGCCTGCCCGAGCCGCCGCCAAACTCCCATGCTGGTCGCCCGGAGACACGTATTAGACACTCGCCACGCAACCCCTGGGCGAACAGCCACCCCTGCAACCTCGAAACACCAGGAAAAAACCGCCACAAACCGCCGCGCGTGGGGCCGCCGCGGGCCGCGCACCCTCTGTGAGTGCCTTCTCAATGTCGATGGTGCCGCACACCCTGTCCTCCGTGGCGCCCAGGGGCAGGTCCACCATGGGGATCTTCATGCTGCCCACGGGCACGGCCTCGCCCGCCCTGATGCGCAGACGCACCTCCTCAGACATGAGCTCGGGGTCCTCGGGGTCTGGATGAGATCGCGAGCGGTTGGATGAGGTAAGGCGCCGCACAGGCCAGATCGACGGCCCGGTCCCTCAAAGGTCGACGTTTGAAAGCCGGGTTGGTTGGGGTGGGTGCATGTGCAGGGCTGGGCCCGCTGCGCACGCCTGGCAGCGTCCTTGGCGTTTCTAGGAGCCGTCGCGCCCCGTCGACCGGCCGCACATTTGCGTTGAGAACGTGCGGGCCGCCAGCACGTGCGGCCGTGCGCCCACATGATCCCAGCGCCAGCGCCGCCTGGCGGCGACGGCTCCGCACTGCGACGCAGACTGCCTTTGACCACTCAACCAGGCAGTTAACTGAAGTCACCTAGATCATCCAGATCACCTAGATTTCTCAGATCACCAGATCACTCTAGGTCAATCACATGCGCCCACCCGAATTGAAGGGGTCCCTGTCCACGACCCGGATCTCGGGCAGCAGATCGGCCAGGGCGCGGATGGTGGTCGACTTGCCAGTGCCGCGGTCGCCCATGATCATCACGCCGCCGATCTGCGGCGCACGCGCACGCGCAGGACGGGGCGGGGCTGAGCGCGCGCCGGTGCATCGTCGGCAGTAGGCGGGCGCTTGCACATTGCACGCCTGCACACGCACACACACATGCACATACACATGCACATACACATACACATGCACATACACATACACATACAAATACACATGCATGAAAAGCAGGCATGCAAGCACAGCATGCCCAACGGATGGCACCAGAACACTTGCGCACTCACTCACACCCAACATAATCCCCATGCGTTTTGACTGCGCGGGCTGGTTGCACAATTGTTGTGTTTGATGTGACGTGTCAAGCCCGCACCTTGGGGTCGATGACATTGAGGATGAGGGCGAGCTTCATTTCCTCCTGACCCACAATGGCAGTGAAAGGGTAGATGGGGCGCGCCTGGCCTGCGCGGGCGCGTGCACCAAGGAAAGGGGGGCATCACGCTGTGGGGGGCACGGGGGGTCTGCGCTGCGCCCCTGCTTGTTGCGCGCCCCGGGCTGCTGCGGCGCGGCGCCCCGCGCAGGTCGCGATAAGTGGGGATATGCTGCGCACCCTCGAGCGCCTTGGTGACGGCTCCATTATCCGTGACAGCAGGCACAGCATACACTGCAGGCGCGCGTGCGTGAGCATGGCAGGTGCAGAGGGGAGGACGGCGGTGCGCAGTCAGCCAAGGGGCGTGGCAACGGTATCAGCGTCAGTCATGGGTACATCAAATGTCTCAGGCCTGAAAAATCCAATCAGCCAGAGCTGGCGCCATGCAAGTGCAGCGGCAGGGACACTTGCAGTAGTGTCGTGTGCGTCCAGATCAGGGCCGCTTCCGCCCTATACTCACCCCTGCACGGGCAGCGGGACGCCTTGCATGCCTGCGATACAGCCAGGTCGGGACAAAATGATATGTATCGGTGCGCGGGCTTGAAAGTCGTTCACGGCCTTCCGTCACCCGTTGTCCACCTGCTGTCCCGCACACCTGAAATGGCTGAAGCGCGCGTGCTCCAGTGGCATTGAATGATGCATTGCCGGAGCGCAGTAACGGCATGGGCGTAGTGGCCCTGCGCGAGACCATCGAGTGAGTGCGCATCATGGCAGCCATCTCGACCGTGCGCGCTTTGAACGGCTTTCGAGTATGCACGTGTGTATTGGCACTGGCAGCACTGCAGTGTGCACATGGTGATCACATGCGCAGCATGCAGGCAGGGCAGGTGGGCGGGCTCACAGCACGACCAGCGAGAGCGTTCACACGCAATGAGCCGGGTGGCCTACATAGTCTGCAACTGGTTTGCATGTGATACTGAACTGGCGCGCCGCCCCGGTCATGCTCCATTGCAAGCCACTGCGTGCACGGCGGCCCCGCCCCCCTGCCCCCGGATGGTTGCCAGTTGACCAATGGTGACCCAGCGGCACGGCATGGCGACCAGCGCAACCCGGGTCCAAGTGGTCTGATTGATGGAACATGCATGACGTACACGAGTCTCATCACCACCGCGTACCACGGCCGACCACCCCCTTGGCACTGGGGACGCACCCACTCAACGGGAATCGCTGCAGGGCATCGAAGAGGCAATATCGAGGAGCGCGCCGGTCCTGTGTCAAATGGTGCCCCGTCTCTCTCATCTCGGCCCCCCCGACCGATTCCCCGCGCCGCACGCCCCGCTTGCGCAGCCAAGACAGGGACGGCCAGCTGCGCCATCCATCTTTCAAAGGACGCGTTACACCCGCAGGACCTCGGTGGTAGCACCATAGTTGATTGCAATCCAATCGGGGTGCGCCACCGACCACTGCAGCTGGTTGATGTCGGACCCCGCAGAGTACGAAAGGATGGGGTCGAGGCCACCGCTGACATCAGCGTGCAGGCCCCCGGCCCCGCCGCCGCCCGCAGCGCCCGCGCCCGCGCCGCTGGCCGCCGCGCCGCTGCCGTTAGCGCCGCTGGGGGTGGGGCCGGCGCCGTTGGGGCCGGCCTGCTGGCCCATGGTCGACAGGTCCCAAATGAGGGCCTGTTGCAGATAGAGAGTCCACAAGATTGCGCGTTGCGGCCGGTTGGGATGGGCCCAGTCAGCGACGGAGGAACATGGGGGACGAACACAGGTGCACAGGCGTGGGAGCGCATGTTAGCGGCGCCAGGCACCTGGGCGCCAAGCGAGGACCGCCCCGCCACAC